CATTGACAGATGTTTCTGTCGGTTTCCGGCCGCCATGTTGGTGCCCATACGGATAGGCACCAGCATGGCGTCTCCATACAAATCTCTATAAATTTTGGGAAAAAAGTTTCTCCCGCATAAAGTTGCTGTGACCAGAATTTTGGCGATAGTCTTTGCATATTTACCTTCTTTCATTTCCCAGATTCTGGACTTTATCTATTGAACGGTTTTGATTTTTATTTTGATCTATTTTGAATTGCGTGACACTGAAAACCAGCAATACATTTATAATATTAACTATGTTAACTCTGTAAATAGTGCAAATATAAAAAGTTGAAGTTAAAGTTATGGGGGATTAAGCCTTATGGCCTTCGTTCTTTCTTGCTATTCATTATTAGGTCCTGTGTACAGCGCGGGCTCCAATTTTATTATCAATACAACGGCAGCAACGATACATGAGATTGACAATAGTCCAAAAAGTACTGGAATAATAGAAAACAGAACGTTCCACGGTCCAAATAACGGTACATGGAGTTACTCAGTGGCATCCTTTAATCTGACCGATTCGGTTGCTGTTGGCATCTTTTCGTCCGCAAGCAACGTATCTATATGTGGTGCGCATGCGCTCTCTGTGACTGTGCAAGGCAACTTTACAATAGGCACGGAGCTTGACGTGAGCGGACAAGAAGTCAATTTCACCTCACGCGATAAACCGCTGTTTTGGCTTGGTGGATTTGTACGTGTCAACAAGTCTTGTTGTACACTAGGTAAGCAAACAGTCCTATAAAATGCTTTTACTCTAAAGAAACTGTTCGGTGCAATGAGTGGGCGGGTGAAACATAAAGTGGACAAAGACAAATGAACCACAAGAGTGCAATATTCCGAATTGCTTTTTACCTCCTGTTGAGAACGAGACCCACAGTATTGTAATCCCAACCGTTCATACGAGAATGAGTTTTACTTTCAAGACAATGAACGCACAAAAAAACTCATTTCCTTAAGTAAGGTTGTGCACTCAGACTTGTTTTGGAACAGAGAAAAGTGCAGCTCCTTTCACGTCATTTGCATCATTGTTGTCCAACATGGATGCGACGCAATGTCGGGAAGAACTAAGAAAAGCTAACTGTTTACGTTTCTCGCAATAACCTCCTTTCGCAACAAAATTAAACATTTTCGATTTAACGTTTGAAATGTCGGCTTATAAAATCTGCTTCAACAGCTAGTTTTCTCCGTCAACTTAAGTTGCTTTAATATTCAGGTTATATAATGAAAGTAAACATTTAGCCAGTTATAAAGACATTAATACACTTAAAGCTACACTACATATTTTAGAATGCAAGCTTTATTTCGCTGTCTGCTTTTGACTCGTGCTACTTTTCAATCTATTTTATTTAAATGTATTTTCCGTCTAGTACTATTATCACTACAGTTAATTTGAAAGAAGTTTGGATAAGTTTGAACTCATACACAAGAGTACAGTATACCGTTAGAAATTTTAATCGAGCATAAGTGGAAAATTTGGCTTGTGGTAGGAAGCTTGAAAATAACTATGTTCTGTTAAAAACTTCAAGACCAAAAGCTAGTTTCTAAGCTCTGCCTCTGTTTATAATAGGAGCGGGGCCTGGTGGTGCTTTCAGCTATCATGGAGGAGGCCATGGTGGAAGAGGAGGTGGTTTTTATCAAGATAGGAACACCAGTAGATTCTTTGGGTGGTCGTACTATGACACGTCTTACTTGCTCGGTGGAAGTACAGGTGAGATAGGGTGAAGGGTTACATCGGCCATAATACAGTTTTACATCTACTTCATATTAAAAAACACTGACATGTTGCATTAAACGAGGTTTAGGAAACAGAAAACGTTGCCTTCTGGGGAGAGCGGTTGGCAATCGGTCCTATTGTTTCTATCGAGTCTTACTAGAATTCTAGACTGTTGTATACTAATGCAAATGTTCCAATCTGATTGGCTGAGCTACTCGTACACTATCAGCAATTATAGTACACCACTAAATTTTCACCGATTCTTATTGGCTTAAATTGATCACTTGACGCGATAGTGCTCATCGGCGGAGACACACTATCTGCCCTTAGTAGATTTCTACTTGAACACTAATGCAAATGTTGCAATCTGATTGGCTAAGCCATTGCACACTATCAGCCATTAGTGTGCAGTGGCTTGGTGTGGTCGACAAAATTGCAACGTTTCCTCGTTTCTCCAAAGTTTTGAAAGAATGTTGTGTAACAAATGGACAGTAAAATACCTGAGAAGACTAAAAGAAGAATATTCGCGGTTTCTTGAGATAAAAAAAATAGAACTTTTTTGAAAGAAACTGATAAGCGCGCGTGCACAACTGCAAATGTCAAATTGACAATTCAGTCCTCGCGAATTTTCTGAAGCGTAAAGTTTAATACCAAGACTAGAAATAATTGGAATTGTTATTTAAAGCAAATTTCAGTAAGAATTCTACTAAAACAATTAGATTATTCCCTCTCGATTTCTATGAGTGATAGTTGATTCGGCCTTTGGCCTCATCAATTATCACCTCATAGGAATCTCGAGCTCATAATCTAATTGTTAGACACGGAGCGATCCCATAAAAGGCAAGGACACGCCACTTTTGAAGCACTTTGTTGGCTTTTTTGTGCAATGGTGGTAACCGAAATAACGGTCGCATAACAGAGAAGTCGTGGAGAAAGAGCGTTTTTTCGCTAAAACAACGGAGTCATGTACGTAGAATAATATAAGGTAAATAGTAAAAATACAGTGAAAATAAAACTTATATTAAGAGGGGAGTGAATAGGTTTTCGGATCGACGAATTTGGCCTTAAAAAGCGCACGGATTGTGGATTTTTGCGGTAAATCGAGCGGATTCGCGGATTTTGAAAACACAGTGGATCGTGGATCAGCTGTAAATTTTGGCGCGGATTCCGGATTGTGCCTGTCTTGATGTTCCCAAACGAAATTTGGATCACAGATCTTTCTTCAGCCTTGGTCAGTATGCTAATGAGTTCATCTACATTATTTCTTTTTTCGAACGAAGCTCATTAAATTCAGGTGTGAGACTGTTATTGGAATTGCACTGTGTTATAGTCATCAAGCATGCGGCCTTCTTAACTATTTGTGCGAAATTAACAAGGGCATTCACATTTACCAGTTTGCCTTTGAAGTTTTATACTTCTGTTTCCGGATGTTGTTGTGGTTTCGGATTTGAACAAAAATTTTGGCGGATCGACGGATTTGGCGCAAAAAGGCACGGATCAGCGGATTTGGATACCCCTATTCACCTCCCTCTATTAAGAATGGCTGACTGTTAGGATCGAGAAACGCCGGTCAACGTCCCATTTGACAAATCGCTCATATTTTGCCCAAAGATACCCTTAGGTGACCTA